ATGACGAATGCAGCTTTATTATTCTTGAAACACTGCTGCATTCCCAGAGCTCTAAGATTAGGGCATCATCTTGCTGGTAGGCACACTGGCTCTCACCCACAGACAGAAGCAACACTGGAATGAGCTACCAGCCATGCCTCAAAGTTGATACCTTGGCATGTTTCAAGAATGCAAAGGAACAAGTAAAGATGAGCAGTACTGTACTTGTTCCTTTGCAGACTACGCATGCTGACGCAGCTACCCACCTGAACCAAGTAAAGGTTTATACCCCCGAACAAGGCTCCACAGCCAAACCGTTGCGTTTTCCCTCTTCTCTTTTCAGCATGGCATAAACCTCGCTCCCTACATGAACATCTTTCAGTTATGGGCTGGATGAGATCTTCATGTCACTCAGCTACCACCAGCCACACTAGATGAACTCATATGATTGATCCGGAAGCCAGAAGGCCTCTTCTTGTTGGGAACCTTCCTTTATGTTCTTCTGCTGCCAGGGCGTTACTCTGTTCGCCGAAACCACCGAGCCTAGCTCGAGCCACGACAAGCTCGCGCCGTCTGAACGCCACCTCACCCTGACTCTCCAACCTGGAGTGAGGTGTAATTGCACTCTCCCCTCCCCTCCCCCCCCACCCCAGACTCGAGGAAACACCCCAGCCTCCCTGGAACCCTCCTGGAACCGTCTCGGGAACAGCAGAGCTCTGCCCTGCACACACTGCCCTCGAGGACAACACAGCGGACACACGCGCGCATGCAAATGGCAGGTTCGGGGCAACAGGCCTTTCCTGTCAGGCAACCGGTTTGACCCCTCGGCGTACATGTGTTGCGCTGGTCTGTCCGAGCTTTTGGCCGGGGCCCCCCATAGCGTCGTGCTCCACAGTCTTTAGCTTCCACACGGCACTCCTCACTCCTCACAACCGGAATTCTGGAGCCGTGGAATCTCCAGTGCCTCACAGGTGGCGATCCGAGCTGTGCGGCCGCTGGCCACCACTTGGAGTGAAATAATAACAATACTATTTGTGCTTCTTATAACGCTATAATTATAATTCTTACTCTTATATAATGCTTTTCTGGACACTCCACTCAAAGCACTTTACAGGTAATGGGGACTCCCCTCCACCACCACCAATGTGCAGCCTCACCTGGATGATGCGACAGCAGCCATAGTGTGCCAGAACACTCACCACACATCAGCTATCAGTGGGGAGGAGAGCAGAGTAACGAAGCCAATTCATAGACGGGGATTGTTAGGAGGCCATGATTGATAAAGGCCGATGGGAAATTTGGCCAGGACGCCGGGGTTACACCCCTACTCTTTTCGAGAAACACCCTGGGATTTTTAATGACCACAGAGAGTCAGGACCTCGGTTTTATGTCTCATCCGAAGGACAGCGCCTGTTTACAGTATAGTGTCCCCGTGACTACACTGGGGGATTAGGACCCACATGAGCCGCAGGGTGAGCGCCCCCTGCTGGCCCCTCTTACACCTCTTCCAGCAGCAACCTTAGCTTTCCCAGGTCTCCCATCCAGGTACTGACCAGGCTCACACCTGCTGAGCTCCAGTGGGTTGCCGGTTGTGAGTTGCAGGGTGATACACATCAGTATAGAGAGATACAGAAATGATCTTTGTGGTATAATAGGAGGAACAGGCAGCAGGGGGTCACAGCTGCCCTTGGGTGTTTCGGTGTTTCGGTGTTTCACACCACACACGGCCTGCTCTAGCCAGAGGGGGGAGGCTTGTCTTGAAAATCTGCTAGCCCCGGTGTAGATGGCATTTTAATTCTTTATCGGTTTAATGATTGACATTCCCCCGTTTTTGTCCTGTATGGCTGCAGTCGTCGCCGGGCGCGGGGCTCAGGAGTTGAGAATCCAAGGCCTGTGTTTGGCTGGCGCGCAGCGCGAGCGCCCCGCAGTCCCGTTTCGTGGAGCTGAAAGAACTCCTCCCCGCACCCAGATACACGCAGGTCCTCCTGGGGAGAACTTCACGGTTTCCGCAGAGAGCCCCATAGAGGCAAGGGGGCAGCGCTCTGGCGTCCCTGGACAGCTGAAGGTCAGATGCAGCTCCCGACCAGATGCCTGCGGGCAGAGTCCTCGGCTGCTCCTCCGCAGACAGAGAGGGCGAAATGAAACGACTGGCCCGCCGCATGGATCCCCCCCCCAGGTATCCAGTCACATTGCACCGTGTGGTCCACAGCGCCGCACCAGCGCCTGAAGCCAGGTACCCAATCAGCTTCAAAGCCAGGCTCTGGACATACACTGTACCGCACACCACCACACTGAGCCATGCTGTATTCATGGGCGCATTCCAAAGGCTAAATAGGGTGGTCTGCTTTTCTGAAATGCACCAGGATAGGTAGTGCTTATATATACATACATTCCAGGGTTCTCCCAGCACAGTTCAGGTGGGTAGCTGCGTCAGCGTAGGCTGCAAAGGAACAGGTAATAGGTTTATCCCATGCTGAAAAGAGAAGAGAGAAAACACAACGTTTTGGCTGTGAAGCCTTCTTCAGGTGTCCAGGTGTCCTGAAGAAGGCTTCCAAGCCGAAACGCTGTGTTCTCTCTCTTCAGCATGGACTAAACCTATTACTCATTCTTCTGCCTGAGCATCTGCGTCAGGCCCACAATGACGTGTCAAGAGGGACGTGATAGCACCGTTGCTGTGCCTGTGTCTGCTCTCAGTCATGCGTCTCAGTATTGCAAGGTACGCGCTGTGTACGCGAAGGCTGTACATTTCATCCTTGCGAGCCTTGGACTACAAAAAAAAAACTCAAATCGTTCAAAATGGAATAGACTTCCGTGACGGCGCTAAAATCCGTTCAAACGGAAACTCAGTATCAGCGTCACTCAAAAAAAAGATAAACCCGTTTTTGAGATGACGTTTGCGACGTTCACTACTTCTATTTTAATATTACTGAAGGCTAATGATAATACAAACAGCTTCCATGTTCGGCAGAGATCAACGCAAAGGGAAACATGGGCGATGTCAAGACACACGGCCGTCTGATCAACGAGTTCAGCGAAGGGATTTTTTTCGCAGAGAGTGCGTGTAGGCACAACGTTCCAATGACGTCATTGCAGCAGACTGAGGCGAGGACAAAGATCGCCATGACAACGCAGTGTAATGCACGAGAAGAGTTACTCCCCTGCTCGTGTTACACGAAAAGTGGCACACAAAGACCAAACACCATATGTGCGTGTCGTGGGACGTAGCGGCGGGGTTTAAAGCCTATTAAAGCTGCATATATCCCCATGTGGTAAACACTAAGGGTGTTTAACATGAGCGCTCACCTAAGGATTAAATTAAAATACTTCAATTCTCCTAAACCATCCACCAGACCAAACAAATAGGTGAGCTACCTAACTAGCACTAGGTTTACAATGAAACAACAGCATCCGGTGAAAAAATGTTGTTCTCAGAATTATCGTGATTATCTGGGGGATTTCAAGCGAAACGTTTCGTAACCAGGGCTAAAAATATGCGACTGTCTACCGCAGTTCTCCTGGAAAAAAATGCGCAGACTGAATTTTACGCCTTATCTGTTCCAAACTGTTCTTACAGGGTCAAGCCTTCAGAACATGATGCCATGACACCACCTAGCGTCCAACGGGTGTAATACTGCTAAATACACCACCTAGTTAAAATACACAGTCGGGTGGGGCTTCAATCAAAAATATTCCAACTCTGAATGTTTTCCCAAGTGCTGCATATGGAAACGGCTGGTAAAAATGTAACGCACGTCATCCTTATTTTATATTTAGAAGACAACTCAAAACAATTTTTGAAAGATCAAGACAAAACAAAACTATGTCGCGGATATAGTTTGGATAGGGACCCCAACGAACAGGATACTTTGTAGCCAACCACGCCACTAAGCAATCGAAAGGGATGCTAACGCTCTTTCCCCCGCGCAACGAGCTCTCTATATCTCCCAGAGCCACCAGTGCCCACAGACCAGACAGTAGTACCGCATTCCAGTCCAGCCATCTCGCAGTTACCATGTCTATCGCTGCCGATACGCGACACACGGAGCACATGACACAAATTACCCACCAGGGTACCCCCACACTCACTGACCCCACGGATCCCAGTTTACCAACATCCCCACTGCCCCAGAAGGAAAGTCCACGGTGCTGCTCTCCGACACTGGCTGCGGTCTGTGACCTGGCGTGACTCCTTCCCCCGCGGAAGGATGTCAGGGCTGAGACTCCGGGATAGTCCCCCCGATGGTCTTTGGCCACCCTGTTCAGAAATGGCCAGCCCGAGCACAGTGCTGCCTTAAGCTCCGCATGTATCCCGTTTCCCCTGAGTCCAGGGAGGTAGATGATGCCAGAGCCTGCCTCCAACTTATGTCTGTAGAGCTCCACCCGGTGTCCCTTTCTGGGTACCAGCGGTGAAAACCGAGTCCCCCCTCCAAATTCAGCTCTGCCGGGTCCTCCTGACAGGCCAGAGTTCAGAGCAGTTGAAGTGACTCTGTATTGTCACGGGTGGGGCGCGGGCAGAGCGCTAACGACTCGGGTCTGGGTAACATACTGACTTGTATGCGGACGGCCGGCTGTAAGGATTCACCGTCTGTTCTTCCCCTGTTCAGGAGGCCGGCCCCCGAACCCGGTAGCAGGCACAGACACGGGCAAACCTGTCCCGCCATCCCTCGTGTCACCTCCGAGCCGTGAGGCGTGGGGCGTGGGGCGGGTCGCGAGCGTCTGAGCGGACAGCGTGTCTGCACCGCGCTGCTGTTGCAGACCGGCTTAAGCGAGGCTGTAATTCGCCGGTCACGCCAAAAGAACAGCTCTTTGAATCTGAATTTTGTTTCGGTAAAGTTGTTGATAGAGACCTCACTGTCTAAGCTAGGAAGACGTCTAATTGAGGAGAAACTCAAAAGAACTAGAAAGATAAACTCCCCGGTGGCAGAGACACCAACCACTATAAGTCAACAGCACCTGCTGCCACACACACGTTTTTACTGCGTCATATCTATCTCAATAGCATAATACTTCCGGCATAAATTATAATAATATAGTTTACAATCATTACATAATATGACGTTGTAATTGAAAAAAAAATAAGACTGGTTATATGTATGACAGGGGAGAAATAGTGATGAAGCGAAGCGTTTTTGTTTTTAGAATGAAGATGCCTTCATTGAAACAAAACATTTTGATTTCGGTCAAGAAGTGAACGTCGGCGAGTTTTTTTATAAAGGCTGTTTTAAAAGATTCAATCTTATCTGGCACCACCAGGGGAACCTGTACTCCTAAAATGAAAACACAGCTCCCCTGACTGTGAATTTTGAAAACGAAATCTTGTACCGCTATTATCCGGCGAACACATCAACACCTCGCCGTACTAGAAGTTACTTTCACTATTGAAAGCCGCCCCCTCAGCGAGCCTGTGATTGGCCGCACTCTCACAGTAATGGCTGTATGGAGGTAGTCACAGTGTCTTCGTCTCATAAGAACCGAAAGAAGTTTTGAAAGAGCTATCCGAGTTAGTGCTCAAAAGAGGGACCAGTGAGCGTTGTTTCTTTCTTTGTATACAAACGATTTCATAGATTAAAGCAGGTAAGTTTTACGACATACGAGAGTCGACACTTCTTGCTGTACGGTTAACTGCATCCAGGCAACAACGTACAATCTGTATCAGTAATAGCAGTGTGTTTTGTATGTTGCTTGTTTTTGTGGCCGTTGCTGCTGTTGTTTAACGGTGATATTAATAATATTGTATTGTTTGTGCCCGACGTAGGGTGTTGGTATTACTAAACAGAGGTCGTCAAATATTGAAGAGAGAGTGTGACATATTTAATGCTGAAATACGACGGTACAGGCTCTTCGTGATCCGTCACTTGTATGTGTTAAACATATTCTGTGTATTATGTGTGGAGTGGTTAAAAAAAAGATCAGCAAATTATCAATGCAAATCGGAAAGAGGTCAAGTTTCCGTTTCTCCGAAAACGAAACTGAGTGATAGAGAAGCGCTCACAAGTCATGTGCGCAGGGGAGTCGATGATTGTAATATTAATAATACGTTCAGACGAAATCCTCTGCTTACCCAAATGTTTGTTTACCTCTCGTCTGAGTTTCATTTGCTTTCCTGCGTTAGTCAGTAAAAGCAGTCCACTTCTTACGATTGCTCGTGACGTGTTTTGGGAGTGCATCCGTAACTGTGGAAAATACCTCCCGCAAATGTTAACATCTAGATTCAGGCTGAAACCTTCTGCGTCAGCTCAGGACAAAGCAATCTTCAGAGAGCGTGATTCGGTCAGTGTGGTGTTATATATCGCTTTTCATGAGCCCTTCTTTCATGAGCAATTCTTGTCGGTATTATTTTCTGAGAGTGGGAAGGGTGGCTCTTTCCTTTTAATTTTCACCGGTGCGTGCCCGCCCGACTGCATTTCCAAAGCGAACTCAGCTGGTGAAGCCAGTTTCTGCTTCTCTCCCTGATCAGCCTTGCAGTGGTGTTGCTGCGTGTCACCAAGATGGGGGCTGCTCTTCGGTGGTGAAGGAAACGGGTCCCCTCCTGTATCTAAAGCGCTTTGGGATTTTTTTAGATAGAAAGTGCTCAATAAATGCAGGAATTTTATTATTATTATTACCACAACTACTACTTGTGGGCAAGGCCCTGAGGTACCTGAACTCTGCTACAAAGGGCAGATGGTCCTCCCTCATGTGGAGATCACGACAGTCAACATCCCCTGCACACAGCGGAGATGCTGCCTCCAGACCCCCCAGGGCCCTCTCCATACCCCATGTCGGCTGATCGATTTCCTGCTCGTGAAAATCCAGGCGCATCCTGAATCAACTCCCTGAACGCCAAGAACATGGACACATCTCTCCTGCTGAGAGTAGAGAGACCAGATAACATGCTAAATCATGGCAGCATCTCCCGCAAGACGTCTTGAGGAATGTGGCCCTGTGGCTTCCTCAGGTCTACAAAACAAGCGGGCTGGATTGTCAGACTGCCATGTCAACCTTGATTATCTGCGAGGGAGAACTGGGACAGAACTCACTATATTCCTCCTCAACCTGCCGTTCAGCCAGCGGACAGTCTCCTTCCTTCACTCTGCTGTATATTTCTCGGGAAGGCCTGAGTAGTGTGATCACCTATCGGTGAGACACACCCTCTAGCCCCCGTTCTTAAAGATGGGCACCACCAATCACCACCATGGTCTGCCAATCCAGAGACTCTGTATCCGCCTTCCACTCAGCATTGAAAAGTTACCTCAACCCTGCCAACTTAAATCACGTCCGGTGACCTCAATATCCCTAGTTGAATCCCGTCCATGCCTGCTGCCCCTTCTCACCGAACGCACTGTATTGACACACTGTGTGTTTGTCATGCGGACCTCCAGCGTCTGTCCAGACAGCGAGATTAATCCAGCTCTCCACAAAATGGCGATCAAGTGACCAATATGCTGTCTTCTTCTGAGTGTCCAGAACACGAGCAGGAAAGATGAAAGAGAATAACCTTCTCCTGCGCAGCATCTGTAAATCAAACCCTATGTGCCGTGACTTAATGCAACTTATTCCTTTTAAGAAAAGGTGTCAGCAATAGTGAGTTTAATCGTGTAATCATTTGATTATTAATGACCATTGTGTGGTTGCTGTGCTCACTGGCTACTCTACAGTGCTTAAAAATGGGAATGATTATTGTACTAATATGGCACTACTTGAAGCATGTAGTCGTTATGACTCAAAATTCTAAAACTTCATTTGGAACGTGGTTTTGAACTCAGATGAGCATGCATGTATTTTAAAGGGTGAAAAGGACCACATGTTGAGTATTTTCTTATAAGAAAAATGGTGCAATAGGCAATAAACTGTGTTGCGTGTTAGTTGCATCCTCAAGCTCAGTGTTTCTTAACCTTTCTAACCTTCCGAGGGAGCACCCGAACACTCCTTCCCTTCTTGGGAAACACACAAACACTCCTAACTTCTCAGGGACCACCCAAACACTCCTATCTTCCCAAAGCTTTCCCAAACACTCCTATCTTCCCAAAGCTT